GCACATTATAATTACATGAACTAGATAGTATATATCCATGTACAAGTTTTGTTGTAAAGTTAAGCATTGCTTCTGAATTATGTTTAAGTATAAATATCTATATATAATATTTTATTATCTGTACCAGTTATTTGAAAAACACTTATTTCATATTTTTTTTTTTCAATATGTCGATAAATTCAATTAAATTTTGAAATATTTTTATGTACCTACACTTATGACGTTTATATAAAAATATAGAGATTGCATACTTCTTAAACACATTGAGTGATATTGGACTATTGCAGAAGGTTGTATAAATTAAAAGCTCAAACCCATAAATATCATTGACCTTGACCCCCACCCCCTATTTTATATGTCWCATTACAATATGATATAGATCATTAACTCTTATTAAAAAACAGATTTCTTTACGAATAAATAACGCAAAGTGTTTACTGTTAAGTTAAAATAATTAAGTATGAAAAAAAAAAATAAGTAATGAATGAATTTTATTATTATGAGGTAAAGTTTTGTTTTTTTTACAGTGAGCTATTTCTGCTATTAAAATTAATATCCAACCATAATTTGAACAGTGATTGCTCAACAATGTSAATTTTTTAGATAATAGAAATAAATCCTTAAACGAGTATAGATCAACGGTAGTTTGGTTGTTGAARCAACATTCAGTGAAACATCTCAAAATGGTTGTCAAAAATATAGAAAGATCATGAAATTTTTGATGCAAAGCCAGATGAATAAGCTAACATAAACTCAATCTGAATATAATGCGTTGKAAAAATATTTCAATCAAACAGTTTTATAAATAATAATGACGCCAATTTATTAATGGTTATTTTTTTGTTTTTACTAAGTATAATATTACCCCTCTTTATAAATCTTCTAAGTGCATGATATCGATTGTGGTGAATGATTTGAAATCAAAAACAATTTGATTACGCTATTGTTTATTTTGATCCATAAAACTTAACAATAAAGAAATGGAATATTATGCGCAGAAACATTTTGATACTTGGTAAAAACCAAAAACTAATGATGGTGTGATAACAAAAGTGTAATTATATCATGTTGGTTTATTAAAGTATAAATACATAAATCACCATTATCTATCTCTGGTAGTTATGATATTATAATAATGACATTTTGATTAGGTATAGCTAAAAAAGACATAAATAAAATAATAAAACAAACACATATTTGAGATTCAAAATATTCTGGTACGTAGCTGTATAATAAAAATTTAATACAATAGGTCCTCACTAATTTTTCTTATCTATATTTTATTTCTTCAGTACCATTGCAGTATAAGGAGTTTTTTTTCATATTTAGACCTTTGTAAATTTAATCCAAATTTATATTGTTTTTCAAACTGAATTTAACATAGGTTTATATTAGTGTAATGTTAGTTTAATTGGTGTAAGATAGTTTACCTATTAATTATTATTGTAGGTTGTTGATAGAAGTTCGTACACAATAMATTTTATTCGTTTATAAACGTTAAGACATATTAACTCACAAAGTCAATATTGTAGATATTCGTTTAAAAACAAAAATTTGTATGCATATTTTAGATTCTGAGCGGAGCGAGGAATGTATTGGTTTTACAATGTTTATTTCTTTTTCTTTTTTTTTTCTGTAAACATTTTTTCTCCCTCTAAACTTGCTCAAAAATATCAAGTGTTGCAACTTTTCTGAAAGGTAATGTTCTTGAGCTAGTACTTTAGAGAGGTCATTTTTCGATTTTCGAAACGGTACCTACTCAAAATAAAAAGGGTTAAAGGAGAAAAAACTTACGATTTCACGGTTTTACAAAATTAAATAATAATTACGGACAACGTTTTTTTTTTTAATTATTATAATAWAATTTATATACTATAACATTATCCTAGACTGATAAACCGTCTCCACTCAAAATCGTTTTTCGTATACAATGATATTACATCCTTGAATTCAAATTTAATACCATTCATTACAGTAACCCACTTGTAACCAACTATATTGCAGAGCGACATCCACTTACCAGCTTTTTTTCTGTAACTAGTTGTTATAATAATAATAATAATAATATGTATCTACATTATTTTATATGAGCTACGTTTCATATACAGTGAGAATATTTTCTATAGTATATGAACTTGATTGTTACGAAATCTTCCAGATATAAATAAAACTATCTAAATAAAATAAAATTTGAGAACTTGTACCACTAGGCCAAAATATTTTCAAACGAAAAATTGAGGATAATTTGTTGAATATATTATTCCAAAAATTTAAGACTTGTATAAATATATTTTTAMTATCTATTAAATTCTAGAATTATAAACGTATTTTTAATTCATTTTCCTTAAAAACTAAATAATATTTAGAAACTATAAATTGTTATGTCACCAAYAATTACCACTTTTGAATTTCAATAAACATACCATATTATATAAAAGTTAATAATTTAAACCATTTGAATTTTGAATAGATGGTATTCAGTTATAGAGTTCTTTTCAACTGTTTACGACTAGTAACTTATTCTCCTTGGTATTTCATAAATAATAATCTTCATAAAGACCTAAAAATCTCTATCCTTAATCAATATACRAAATTGTATTGCTTTAAATTATTTTAAACTCAAACGCTCWCAAGTAACCCATTAATCAAACAACTATTCTACACCTTAGTTTCCTATAACGGGACCACTTGGTCGGGCGACACTGTTGAATGCTTGTCTATAAACGCTAATCACCTTTTATTAACCATTATTATCAARTGTACTCATTATACTTATTGTATTGTTTTGACTGTAAAAAATTTTAAATGTAATACCTATGTAAAAAATTTATTATAAATTTATAACGTAATAAAAAAATGTATATGGATAGTATTGTGTCATTAAATTACAACAAATAGAAACATATAAACAATTTGTATAAATATGACACGGTTTTGGGAAATAAATTGTTTTGTTGTTTTGGTGCTAATATTAAATTTCACACTAAAAATGTAAAAATTATACGTAGTATATTAAAAATAATGTAGAAAGCATTTAATTTTTTTTGTAAAGTTACGTGCGTGATAGAATAAATGTATAGTTGTAGTTTCAAGAGTTATCTGGTAGTATTTTCCTAAAAATTGGAAAAAAACCAAATTTAAAATTCAATAGTTCATATTGTAATAAAATAAAATTTAGGTATAGTCTCTTCTTTGATTCTGTATACATAGAGTATATATTTGTGAGTATACCTTTCTTGCTCTTTAATCTCTCTAATCCGGGMAAAATTTATAATAATTTCCGGAATGCTGCGTAGCGTGGATAGGGAACCGGAATTCACTGCAACGTCGTCTTATATTATATGCGCGTATCGTATACTCGTATATAATATTATTATACAGGCAAAGCCAGCAGCTGAGACCTGCAGTTTTGTGGTTGTGCMGTCAGAGCACCATCGCACGTGATATACAATATAATATATTATATTCACGTGCGTGCATACGTTCGAGTGTGTATACGTGTGTTTGTGTGTGTCTGTGTGTACACTTAGATAGGGAGTACGAAATGAATTTACCCATACCCATGGTCCCGTTTGACAAAGGGGAAGTTGAACCGGGTAGGGTAATGCAAAAGATCGTGGTGTAGAGAAGGACGACAAGGAGAAGATCGAGGCAGCAGGCGCAGCGACGAGCATCAAAAGGAGTAAAAGGGCCATAGATAAAAGGGTGTCAGCAATGGACGAGTGTGCAGGTATATTATATACAGCGTAATCGATTTACATACCTACACGAATTTTAGATTAAAATGAAAGTTKTTTTGTATTTAAATTATGAACGCAAAATGTTTAAAAATCATAGGTACATCAAATTAATGGTAAAAAAATCGTAGGTGATTATAAATTGGTATATTGAAGAAGTAAGAAAAAGTTATCTATAAAGTAAAGAGTGGTGGATGAAGAGAAKTTTCGATGCCTCAAATTTTACCTATGAATAATATAAACCAAATAATACCTGATTTTTTTTAAGTAGGAACCTATGTTTTTTTTTAAATTATACAATCTATTTTCAGTAGGTACACTCGCGTTAAACAGGGGAGTTCACAGTAAAGTAATTCTGAATTTTTATATAATTAGTTATCTTTTGTTCTTTTTTTGTTGTATTTACAATTTAAATATTACATTTATATCTAGCCAATATTTTTAAAAGGAAACATCTATGCGTACATTTTTTTTTCAAAAATACTCAGATTCCTTTGTTATTTTATCCAAAAGTTTGCCATACTTTTTTTCTTTTATAATATTATGTATTATTATATTGAAAATGGAAAAATGAAAGGGTAAAAAAAATCTTTTTTAACAAGACATTATCAAAAATTTTATGAATTCTGTGTCAATTATTATTCTATAGCCTCATTTTGTCGACAATTTTTAAATTTTAAATTGTTATATCAATTGCAATTTTGTATTAATAGCAGTTTATTATATTGTAAATTATATGAAAATTCCAAAATTATTATTATTATTATTATATATGTTTTTAATAATATTTTGATTATTACTAACTATTTATTAGTAATTACGTTTATTAAATTGCTTGTAACAACAAATATCCTAAATCAATAACTATTAAGTTATGACAGTATAATTTATATTGATAAACTAAAAATTACAATTAAATTTTACAATATTTTAGAAATTTTATAAATGATTGTTTATACATTATTTCTCAAAAAACACATTAAAAATGATCAGATAAGTTAAAGTAGGTATAACTATTTTAGTTGAACATGCCATAGATTTACTCTGGAATTATTTTTTCTAAGGGTATACACCTATTATTTTGTAATATTTTAGCATTTATACATATGAACTACGTAGTCCGTAAAATTACTTCAATTACACATTATACTATATGGAATGTTTYACCATGAATATATCCATTACAATGCCATAAAACTATTCAGCGACTTAGTATGTATTTGAAATTTGAACTTCATATAACAGTATTATTTTGTCTTTCAGGACGGGTAAACTTCATTACCCGACGGATGTTTGTGGGCCGTTGTTCGAAGAAGAATTGGAGTTTTGGGGTCTGGACGCGAACCAAGTGGAACCCTGTTGCTGGATGACCTACACCCAGGTAAATTCTTACTTAACCGATTTGCATCTGTAAACGCGTTGTCTGGAGTATGTTTTATTTATATTAAATGGAATAGGTAACTTCATTTAAGGAACGTAAGTTTAGATATATATCTTGTTATAATAATAATTACGGTCATAAATTATAGCTGGAATTTGATTACATGTTAAATCCCTCGAGCATGACATCGTTCGACACCATTTTATTGTTGTTATTTTAAGTTGTGTTATTGTAGCGTCATATTGAGGTTTTGAAATTAATATCCTCTGTTTGGTTAAATGCTGTGGTAAATTAAAGTCTATGGGGATCTCATTTAAAATATATATAAATTAAAGGGGTAAGAACGAATAGGTTTATAGGCTTAAATATTAAAGTTTAGTTTTTACCGATCTCAAGATTCTTTATTTTTATTCGTTCTTTTAAAGTTTAATCCATTCAATATTTTGACACTGATTCTAAATACAATTTTTAATTAAACTTAATTGCTTATTCATGATTTTCATAAACCTCTGTATCGCCAATCCTAACCTGACCTAACTCACTGATCCTGTCAATATTTTTATTTTTTTTTCCGATATTATATCCTTTAATAATAATTATTTTATATATATATAATTTTTTTTTTTTAACAACAATAATCAAACAAAAATGACAAAAAAAAAAAGAAATTTGACGAAATTAAAAGTATATTGGCTGTTGTTATTGTTCTCTAAGTACCTTGTAATGCAWAAACACAGTTCTAAACTCAGATAAATTTACATGAAACTATGTTTGATTTGCAAAAAAAAAAGTATTATCTGATTGCATATAATATTATATTTTATCTTTAAAAAAAACGTATTTTGATTTTTATATCATATTTACCAAGATTTTGATGAAAACAAAATTAAAATAGGTAACTATGGAGAAGATGGTATTTTTTAATATTTACTTTGTATACAATTATGTCTAAATTTGAATATAAAATAGTATTTTAAAAAAACTGTGATTTTATATTATATTTATTTTATTGATCATAAGTCTGGCAACTATGGTCATTAGTTGTTTATGGAGGGGGGGATGATTGGTTTGGAATTTGTAATGNGTCAAGGTGTTATGACGATTGTATGAACTAAAGTTTTTATGAATTCCTAATTCAAAATAACATGYAAATGTTATGATTTTAACAAATTTTGTCAAAATGTTATTTTTTTTTTTATTAATTATTCCGTGGAAACTTAGGCCATTGGGAAGGAGGTGGTTTATGGAATGGTAGGTGTGTTACACGTGGGTGAGTTTTGGGGCACCCATAGGTTTCTGCCATGCCCCAGAGGGGGGATGGTGACACTTGTTCTCCGGACACCGTGACTTGTCCGGAGAAAAATGTAGCCCGATGGTCGAAGATCGAACCCGGTCCGGCTGAGCTACAGCCGACGCGTTAGACCGCTCAGCCACCTCTTCCCCCACATCTTATCTTTATACAAAACACTGTTGGTGATATACGCTGGATTTTATTTTTTTTGAATTTCCCATACCAACATCTTTTGAAGAATCTTTTCTTACACTTTGAAATATTTTACTGAGTGAAAATCTTTTCWATCGACAATAATATTWAAAAAAAACTTTTTCTTATTTCTTTAAAAATCTCAAAAAGTGTCAAAATKTTGTTCAAATATAGTGGTCTATATAAAATAATCAAATTTGATCTCTCGAAAGGATCAACTAGATCAACTAGAACAAAAATCGATCATTATTTCTACTAGAAAAAATGTTTACAGAAAAAAACACGTCATTGTGAAATCAACAATTTATTGCTCCGATTAGAATCCAGTATATTTAACCGATAGAAAATGCCATATTTATGTATACGTTTATAAATAAATGTTTAAAGTTATCATATTTATGAAAATGATAAAAGTTAAAATTTGTTATTGTTAAAATTAAAATCAATATTGATAGTTTAAATCCATARCATTTATATCATATCCATTATTCTATAGGTACATTAAAATAAATTTACTGTTTTAAATAATATTTTATAAAATGTTTTTTTATATCATTCTCTTTTTTTCATAATTTCGTTTAATAGCATCACTGCATATTTATAGAAACGTACTAAGATACTATTACAGAATGCAATATAATTTWAAATTTTAGATAAATCCTACTAAAATAAAACCAAACATTAAAAGAGTTTAAATTTTAGTATAATACTGCAGCAATACATTTTCGATTTTAAATATAAAGCYTCGATATATTGTAAGTATTTTATAAAATTTAACTGCAACAATGTACAACATATATAGTTATAAACATTTTTTTTTATTTGTAGGTATATCGTTGTATGCAGTATAATGAACTGACACCTTTTTTATGTGGAAAGTTAACACTAATATTTCCACACCGGCATACTTCATAGACTTGACTTTAGATTTTTTGCCAAAAACTTAACACGAATCAAATTATTATGTTTAATAATAATTTATATTTAACAATTTGGAATTTTTCAGAAATTTTTGATATCACTTTAAGATCTTTGTTTTTTTCAATAGGTACAATATAATACTAGAATAGCATATCTTATTGTGTGCAATGTTAATATATAAAAAACGCGACGTCGGTTTTTTTTTTTGAAGGAAATAATATAATAGTATTGGATTTTATGTGCAGACGCTCTCGCTAGTATACATGTATTCACTAAAGCGTTTTCCTATGGAAATTTTTCTTGTCCATTAGCTTTGGTTGAAATACTACATTTATCATCAAGGGAAACATGTTGGCACTGAGGAATTGGAATAAACAATACTATCGTTGTAATTTTTCTCCCAAGACTAGACATAAGGATTATATTATTTCATCGTGTCTGCTCATTAGTATTTCAATGAAAATSAATTAAATTTAGTAGAAGTCAAAGAAGCAAACTATCTATTAAGAAATGGTTTGATAGAACACTTTCTGTGGGTTTAAAATAAAAATTTCACATCGTCACTATACTAATATTGGGTTACTGCTAATCTAATGGTTTTTAGCCTTTTAGGGATTCATGTTTTCACTATTWTATCAGTTAATTTTGTTTGTACAACAACACAAAATAAATATATATTTTTTATGAACCATAAAAACAAAATATGGTTTATTAAACATACATTTACTAGGTAGGTTCTATGTTTCTCTCCATATTGTTATCGCTGTTTTCCACCGCAATATAATATTATTTACCAACATAGGCAAATTCATTTTGATGAACTATTTTTTATTATTTTTTACTATTTTATTTCATATCTATAAAATAAAATTGTAAACTTTTCGATCACGTTTAAATGTAATGTCACCTTGTTTTTGGCGTAGATAGAGTAATTTTAATTTTATATGAACTGAAAGATGGTAATTTCAACTAAATGACTGACATTGCACAATACGTACACCGTTTGTATACAACAATTGRTTAAATTGAAAAACTTTTATTTTATTTGTGTTTTTCCATTACAATACTATGCATTAGCCATTCACTGWAATTAATTGTTGCAAAAARAAATATATATTGTCATATAACCGTTGTGACGTAATTCACATTCGCAGTAGTTGATGTAGGTACATCATGGACACTGTAACAGCTGAATGTTGACCCATCATATATAAAGCTTTAAAATTAATAAATTTAACACTTAACTTTAATTTCCTAATCCATAAGCCAGGTAAACCTGAAAATCTTCCCTCTTCTTTTCGTCCAATTAGCCTACTGCCGCCGTTCTCAAAAATACTCGAAAAAGTAATACTGAAAAGAATCTACCYAATCATTAATGTTCAAAAGACGATCCCAAACACTCAATTTAGATTTAGAAATAAACGCTCAGCCCTCCACCAAGTCCATAGAATTGTAGATAACATTGCTTCTACTCTAGAAATAAAATATTTCTGCTCGGCTGTATTTCTAGATGTTGCCCAGGCATTCGATCGAGTGTGGCACAAAGGACTTCTCTACAAAACTCGATTTCTTCCTACTCCTATCTACCTTATTCTTAACTCATATCTCTCTAATCGTACCTTCCAAGTGCGCTGTGAAGATGTTCTTTCTGAAACTCATACTGCAAAAGCCGGTGTATAGGTGTACCCCAAGGTAGCATTCTTGCACCCACGCTCTATAATATTTACACATCTAATATTCCTCACTCTAACCTTACTAGCCTAGCTA